ACGCCCACCCAGGAGGCTGTGTACTGCTTCTGCGACTCTGATGAGGACCTGGAGCCGGCGGCCACAGCTCCAGCCCCCCAGAGGGCATCTGCTATACCCCGCGCTCTAAAACGGGAGGGCCTGATGGGTAGGAAGGAGGCCCGAGCCCCATCCAAGCTCCCCTCAACTGTCCCGCCACCCGCAAGGGCCCAACCCAGGCTGATCGCRGATGAGACGCCCCCCTGCTACTCCTTGAGCTCCTCGGCCAGCTCCCTCAGTGAGCCTGAGCTCTCCGAGCGGCCAGCCAGTGGTCCACGAGGTCAGGAGCCAGCAGTCACCAAGGACCCAGGCCCGAGCAGTGGACCTGAGAGCTCGCCAAGCCCCCGGGCCGAGGAGGAGCTACTGCGGAGGTGCATCGGCTCAGCCATGCCTAGGCGGCGGCCCCAGGCATCAGGYCCCCGGCGTCGCAAGCCCCGAGTCACCCGGCTGGACATCCGGCCAGCAGAGGTACCTCAGGGGTGCAGTGAGGAGGTGGCGGGCTCAGACCCAGCCTCGGACCTGGACAGCGTGGAGTGGCAAGCCATCCAGGACGGGGCCAACTCCATTGTCACGTGGTTGCACCAGGCCGCGGCAGCGGCCACCATGGAGGCCTCCTCAGAGTCTGACTCCCTCCTGTCCTTGGTGTCTGGGCTGTCAGGGGGCCCCACCCTGCCGCCCTCCAAGCACAGGAAGGGGAGACAGCCCGGAGCAGGGGCCAAGGTGGGCAGTGCCCAGCGGCCAGAGAAACGGGGCCTGTCCACCAGCAAGAGCAGTGGGAACCCCCGCTCACCCGCAGGCCCTGAGAAGGGGCACCCCGCTCAGAAGACTGTGCCTGAGGGGCCTGCTGTACTTCGGGGTCGCACAGTCATCTATGTGCCCAGTCCTGCCCATCGAGCCCAGCCCAAAGGCATCCCTGGCCCCCGTGCCACACCCAGGAAAATGGGGAACCCTGGCCCCACACAGCCAGAGGCCAAGGCCAAAACCTCCACCCCTGGGCAGCAGCGGTCCCGGAGCCTGCACCGGCCTGGCAAGAGTTCAGAGCTGGCGGAACTGAGCCGCCCACCTAGGAGCGCCACACCCCCTGCCCGCCTGGCCAAGACCCCATCCTCCAGCTCCTCCCAGACCTCTCCCGCCTCCCAGCCCCTGCCCAGGAAGTCCCCTCTGGCCACCTCGGCTGCAGGTCCCCTGCCTGGCCCCGAGGCCACCTCGTTACCCAAGACGCCTGCTCGGGCCCTTCTGGCCAAGCAACACAAGACACAGAAGTCGCCCGTGCGGATCCCGTTCATGCAGAGGCCGGCTAGACGGGGGCCGCCGCCGCTAGCCAGGGCAACCCCAGAGCCGGGTCCCAGGAGCCGGGCGGCAGCCGAGGGAGTCCCGGGGACGCGCGGGGGCCGCCTGGGCCTCGTGCGCGTGGCCTCGGCCCGCTCCAGCGGCAGCGAGTCCTCTGACCGCTCGGGATTCCGGCGGCAGCTGACCTTCATCAAGGAGTCTCCGGGCTTGCTGCGTCGACGCCGCTCCGAGCTGTCCTCAACAGAGTCCGCAGCCTCTGTCCCCCCAGGCGCTTCACCCCGCCGCGGCCGGCCCGCGCTCCCGGCGGTGTTCCTCTGCTCCTCGCGCTGCGACGAGCTGCGGGCGGCCCCGCGGCAGCCCCCAGCCCCTCAGCGCTCCCCCGCCGCGCGCCCGGGGCCCAGCCCCGGCCCCAGCCCGCGCGCGCCCCGACGCACCAGCTCCGAGAGCCCGTCGCGCCTGCCCGTGCGCGCGTCCGTCCCGCGGCCCGAGGCGGTCAAGCGCTACGCCTCCTTGCCGCACATCAGCGTGGCCCGAAGGTCCGACGGCGTCGTCGCCGCGTGCCCGGCCCCCGCCGACGCCACTCGCCGCAGCAGCGACGGGGAGGCCAGGCCGCTGCCCAGGGTGGCGGCGCCGGGCACCACGTGGCGGCGCATCCGGGACGAGGACGTCCCGCACATCTTGCGTAGCACCCTGCCCGCCACCGCCTTGCCGCTCAGGGGCGCCTCGCCCGAGGAGGGCCCGGTCGGGACCCCGCAGCGCAAGACCAGCGACGCTGTGGTGCAGACGGAAGAGGTGGCCGCCCCCAAGACCAACTCCAGCACCTCTCCGAGTCTGGAGAGCAGAGACCCACCGCAGGTCCCCGCGGGCGGCGCCGCCGGCCTGGGCAGCGAGGTGGACGGGCCCGGCTCCGCCAAAGCATCTGCCACCGCCTCCTTCGTCCACGAGGGCCCGGGGGTCGCTGTCGGGGGCTTCCCCGCCAGCCGGCACGGCTCCCCCAGCCGCGCCGCCCGGGTCCCACCCTTCAACTACGTGCCCAGCCCCATGGCCTCGGTGGCTTCCAACGACTCGGCGGTAGAGAAAGCGGCGGCCACCGCCCCTGCCAGCCTCCTGGAATAATGGCCTGGGCCGGCGTCCAGAAATCTCTCCTGGCCCTGCGGCCGGTCTGGYTGCCACCCGGCCCGCTCTGTAGATGCTCTGAGCAGGCTGTGCAGGGCCACCGCCTCGCCCTCAGAGCTTCCGCCCGAGTTCACAGCAGCCTCGCTTAGGGCAGGACCTTGCTTGTGCACCGCGGGGCTCCAGGGGAAAGGCTCGCCCCTGACCACCGAGCGCACGCTAGGCCCTTGGGCCCAGGTCGGGCGGGAAGGGAGAAGCTCTGCGGGTCACTAGCACAGCCCTCAAGCCGCCTCTGCGGAGCCACCGGGCCGAGGCTCACCTGGGGGCTAGGTGGGACAGCCTCTGGGTCGCACCTGGGCGATCCTCAGGAGAGTAGGCAGTGTCCCCCAAGGTGTGGGGACCAGCTGGGGGAGGGTGGCTTGACTGCCTACCAGTGGGGCCAGGCATCTGCCGTGCAGGGTGAGGCTGTAATCACTGCTTCTGGTAATTTGTTAATGACGGCTTGGCTGGCTTGTTTGCCTTCCGAGCCCAGCTGTGAGGGAGCCCGGTGAGGGTGGGCTGAGCCCCACAGACTGCAGCTCTGGAAGCTGGGAGCAGCCGTCCTGGGGGCTGCCACGAGAAGACTGGCCCCGGCACCGCGGGGGATGACGATGGGGGCCAGGCAGGCCTCTGCAGACAGAAAAGGTGCCGGGGAGGGCTGACCTGTGTCCACCACTGCCAACTGTCAGGGGTCCTTTCCACTCCTCAAGGAGGAGCTGGCCACCAGCCGAGCGGCCCTGGTGGTCAGGAGTCAGAACCAGCCCTCATGGATGAGGAGGGGAGAGTCCCTGGAGGCGGCTGTGGCTTAGGACCTGTGCTTTAAAGGGGGGGGGTGTCACTGGGAGCTCTTCCTCAAGGACGGCTGCTGCCCCTGCTGGTCCTGCCTTCCATTTCCTCTCCTGCACTATGCATGCAGGGGTGGCCCTAGGCCGGGCCGACGTCCAGGTGGGCTTTGGGGTGGGGTATGCAGCCTGGGTACCAAGGTGCCAGATGCGTCGGGGGATACAGGGAGCCTGGGGGCCACAGTTGCTCCAATCCAGCCCCAGCTGCCTGGTGGTAGAGAAGCTAACGGGGGGCCCCAGGAGCCAGGTCTCGGGGGTCCTGGGCCAGTGTGTGCGGAGGCACCAGGGAGGCGGTGTTCCACCAGCTTGGGCATCTTCCTGCAGAGAGAGCCAGCGACCTCTTTCCTGCAGGACCCGACTCTGCCAGAGGACCTGCTGCTGAGCCATCTGTGGCGGCAGGTCCCCAGGGGCAGGTGCTGTTCCGCAGGCTGGGCAGCTGGGTGGGAGGCGCTCTGAAGGAACCCCCTGCCCACCATGGGCACCACGGTCCCTCCTTGGCAGGTCCCCAGCTGCGCTGAGGTCAGGGAGGAGGCAGACATCAGTCCCCCCCCCCATGCCCCTCTGTGGGGGTTGGCAACTCCAGGAGCCTCCAGGACCCCACCCTGGAGATGAGGCACCCCGTCCTCCCCACACACCAGCGTCTTCTCCAAAACACGGCACCCCCAGGGCCCACCTACCCAGGACGCTGGGCAGGATGGCCGTGCTCCCACACCCCCAAACTGCAGTCCCAGCGGCAGGTGCTGGGGACATGCAATCCCCACCCCTAGAACACTGCCTGCCAGGCCAGGCTTCTGAGTCTCTGGAGCCAAGGCCCCGGGTGGCTGCGAGAGGGGACTTCGGCCTGCTGTGTCGGAAACCTTGTCCCCAGCTGTAGCCTACCTGTCCTCTCATACCTGCCACAGGCAGCTGGGCCCTGGCGTGGCCTGTTGGTGAGGGGACAGCAGGAGATGGACTGCAGCCTTCCCAGCTCAAAGGCCAGGTGCCCACAGGGCCGCCTGTGCCTCAGTCTCTCCACGTGGGCCCTGGGGGGCTCCCAGAGCTACCTCTCAGGCGAGCGGTGGCCACTGTGATGGGAGGCTCCCGGGTGCTGACCTCTGCCCTGGACACAGCTCCCACCACAGCTGGTACATAAGGGGCCATGTGCTGCCAGCTGCTACCTCCTGCTGGGCCCCCTACCAAGCGGCCACTGTTGCTTTCTGTGTCCCCTTCAGAGGCAGGAACAGCCACAGGGCATCCTTCTGCCCAGGGAGGAGGTGACGGCAAGAGCCAGAAGGGCAGCTGGTGGCGTGGACCATCAACCCCAGGCTCTGGAGCACTCTGGGGCCAGCCCCGGAGAACTGAAGACRGGGCCCACGGTTGGAGGGGATGACCCCCACCCCCACCCCTCCCCAACCTGCAGCTGGTCACCGGCTCTTGCTGCTGCCAGCTGGGTTCCAGCAGCAGGCCTGTTACACACTTGTAAATAGCTCCGGCCGGCCCTGCCCACCCCACAGGTGAAGCCATCTGTCTGGCAGGACAATGCCCACCAGGCGTCCGCTTCCCTGCGTCTTGAATAAACTGCGCTGTGAACTGCCCTCAACTGCCCTGGTTCCTGTGCGGAGGATGGGGGGAGGGGGCTGTCTGTGCCGACCACAGGCCCCACGATGGGTCCCTGTGCTGAGCCAGGGGCCACGAGCTGAGTGGACATCTCAGGTCAGGTTCTGGAAGCCGGACCTAAACGTGGCGGTGTTTATTCAGAGACAGGGAAGGGTTGGCTGAGTGCCTTGGTCCCCTGGGGACAGTTCCCCAGGCAGGTGGCCCACCTGGGGCTTTGTTTCTGGTTCTCAGTCCTTGCTGCCAGCTCCAGTGTGCAGCAGGGCAGGGGTCCATTAAGGTGAACAGTACTGTCCTCAGCTGTCCAGGTAGCAAAGCTTTGGGGTGGGTGATCCACAAGAAATCCCCAAGGTTCAGTGTGGGCCCAAGACGGCTTCCGGTCAGGGAGTCTCTGGCTTCAGCAGTGACCCTTCACAGGGAGAGGTTCAGGAGACAGCGTGCCACTGGGGAACTGCGGGGAGGAGGGGCATGAGGCCAGGCTCCAGCCACCCAGCAGTGTTCCCTGCGGGACTGGGCGGTGCCCCACTCAGAGCTCCACACAGGTCCCTCTGAGGATGGGAGTCTCTGGCTTCAGCAGTGACCCTCCAACCCAGCCTCTACCTATCCCAGAGGACAGGGCCAGAAGAGACGGGGCACAGGGCCTAAGGACCCAGCCAGGCTCTGGGCAGGAGTGGCCAGCACGTCCCCTGATCGCAGGGACATAGTCCAAGTGTGGTTAGAGTCTCAGGGCTTCTCTCTGGGAGCCAGTGACCTCAGCAGCCCAGAGTAGTTGTGAGACCACCGAGGTCTGTGGCAGGAGGTGGGCCAGAAACTCAGGCTGGCTCCTGGGCCACATGATGCAGGCTGAGGGCCCACCTGGCTGAGCCAACACAGTCAACAGGTCAGTCCTGCACCCCAACCCCTGGCCAGGCACCTGGACCCAGGTGAACAGATAGACCAGCCCTTCYTGGGGAGCACACATTCCTGCAACCAGGTTCACAGTGCCCTGAAGGAGGAAGGAGGTGGCACTGCCCCAGAGGCTCATGTCCAACCAGAGGCCATTGTGAGTGGAGGAGGGGACAGAACCCCAGGGAGCATCCAACCTCTCCACCCTGTGTCCAGGCAGAGCCGAGACCACGGTGTGGGTCCTGCCAGCCCAGTGTCATGGGAAGACACCATGACCTGTAGCTGCCAATGAAGGAGAGAAGCACGGGTGGCCCCCGGTGCTGGAACCCAGATGGAATGCCAGCCTGGGGCACTCAGGTCCCCAGAGAGGAGCCAGAGGTGGTGGCATGAGGTGCTGCCTTAGACATGCAGGCCCAGGTCAGCCTGAGGAGGTAGCTGAGGTCCCTGGCAGCGCTGCCTGGGTCACCTGGCTGATGTCCCGCTCCAGCTCCTGGCCAGCTAACTGGAGGTCCTCGCGCTTCTGCCGCAGCTCCTCCCTAGCCTGCTGCAGCTGCTTGTTTGTGATCACATAGGCCCGGCTCTGCTGGTAGAGCTGCTCCTGCTGATCCTCAGGGTCCTYGGTCCTCCTGGAGGGGCCTGGAAGGTCTGTGGATGGACACAGAAGCCTCACTCACCAAGGAGCCCCAAATCACAGAATGTGATACCTATGGGCCTCCATGCACAGGGCAGCCACAGGTGGGCATCTGCATCTCACCAAGCTAACTACATGGCAGATGCAGACGCTGTGGGCAGGAGGGAGCTGAGCTGGCTCCCTCCCTGGCTAGGAGAGACCTCTTGGTTTTCACCTTGGCCACAGACTGGTTGCAGAAAGGCCCACAGGAAAGCTCAACCCAGGCCACTGGGTGGGCCTCCCTGGGTGGGCTCCGATTTCTGTCTTCAGACTGGGCTCTTGTGCCTGCTCTCTCTGGAAGCCTGAGCTGCAACATGCCAGCTCCTGCAGATGCCTTATGTGGTTCTGCAGCCACAGGACCCAGTGCTTCCAGAACTGCGGGTGTGGAGACACATTTCCCAGGGCCCCTTGCACAAGCAGCACATAAAACTCCCCTGCTCCCAGAAGGTACAAGACCATGGGTGCAGGACTGCAAAGGTCAGGTTTTGGGTACCATGCGACACGTCAGGACTCCCTCCAATCCTTCCTGTTCCTCACCTGCCCATAACCATCTGGATTCCAGCTCCAACACCCACCGCAGGCCAGGGAACACTAGCGTTTGGTTACAGGTCACTTTTTCACCATTGTTTTAGGTAAAAAGGGGGAAGGTCAGATGCAAACAGGATGGGACCAGCAGAAGATGCCCTTTCCCTCCAGTGAGCCCCCGAGCGCCCCTTCACTCTCCCTTGAACATGGTGCACCTCAGCTCCTGTGTGTGCTAGGTGGAACCTAGGGCCTCACAGGTGCTTCTCCTGGATTGCACCCCGGCCCTTTTTATTTTCAGGCAGGGTCTTGCTAAATTGCCAAGGTTGGCTGGAGCCTGGACCCTTCTGCCTCAGCCTCCTGAGCTACTGGGATAGGCTAACTGGTGTGCAGGCACAGGGGAGTGCCCCACAGTTCTGCAGGTCTGTTCCGACCCCTGTCGACAGTGAGAGCAGCTACTGGCCCAGGAGTGGAAAAACTGGCTGTGTACCCAAAAACTTTCTTCCACATATCTCAAAATATGCTCACCCCCACTGAAACACGTGATCTGCGATGTGGCTCAGGGTAGAGCGACTGCCTAGGTGCAAAAAGGCCCTGGGGTCCACCCCCAGCATGAAAAAAAAAAAAAAAGTGGAGATCCCTTCCTGGCTCCCGGCCTGAGCGGACCGGCGGCGCGGGCGGTGTGCTCCTGCAGACCCCGCCTCTCCCGCTGGGGCCCGGGACCGTCCCTCCCCTCTCGGGCCGGACTCCTTCTACCTTCCGGGGCCAGCGCGGTGAAGACGGGGTCCTGGGCCCGCGCTCCTCGCACGTCCTCCAGGATCTGCGCCACCGTGGGGGGCGCCGGGCGGGTGGGCAGCACCACGCGCTTCTTGGCCTTGGAGCCCATCCCTGAAGGCGGGAGAAGGGAGCACTGACCGGGCGTCCACCTCTCGCTGGGCGCGGACCGTTCCTCCCGCCCCGACCACTCGCACGCACCCGCCGCCGCCCTGCCGCGCCCTCCGGGGCCGCCCAGCTCTGGCCTTCCCTCGGCGCGACACCGCGGCTCGGCACCGCCGGGTTCCGCTCACCTCGACCTCCGTCTCCCCGCGAACCCTGGCCGCCCACCTCCACCGCCCGGGAACGCTCCCGCCGGCGCCGGAGCCGCCGCTACCACAGCACTTCCGCTTCCGGTCGGAGCTCGGGCCCACCCGACTCGCGACGCGCGCTTCCGGCTTCCTGGGACCCGGGCTCTTRGCCAGAGCCCGCCCCTTCTTAAAGGGGCGGCACCCTGGAGGAGGCCCGTGTGATCCGAGAGCGACCCGACGTGATGGGAGTGAGTGGAGTGTCCTCTGCTGGGTGACAGATCACCTGGAACTCGGGTTTATGTTCGTGTCACTGGGGGTAGAGCCCAGGGCCAAAGTATCCCAGAGCCACACCCCAGCCCTTTCCGAGACAGGGTCTCCTCCTGCCCAGCCTCCTGAGTCACTGGGACCACAGGCCGGTGGCCACAGGCTGGCTGGCCTCAGATTTCTACAGCCTCCTCCCCACCTGGGCCGGCGAGGGCTGGGTTGGAGAACAAAAGCAGCAGAGGGGGATGTCGTGTTTAAACAGCTTTATGAAGAGGTGACTTACACACCCCGAAGTTCACTCACCTGGTGTCTGTAGTGGTTCCAATTCAGGGTTTGGGTGCTGGGCTTTTTGTTGTATATTCAGAGTCATGCAGTCACCCCCACAGTCTGGTTCCAGAACATTCTCATCACCCCAGAAGAAAGCCTGTCCCCATGAGCAGTCACCCACTCCCCAGCCTAGCTCCTGCACCCATGATTCACATCCGGTCTCTGGACTCGCCTGTCACTGTCACACACTGTGGCCTTGTGTGTCTGGCTCTCAATGAGCATGAGGTCCTCAGGTCCATCCATACTGCAGCGTGTGTCCCCTGGCTCCTGCCCTGGCTGAGGGACACTCCAGGTGGATGGACATGGTGTCTGTCTGTGCATTGTGGAGCTGGCCGCAGTCTGGCTGTGGGAACCACGCTGCTGTGAGCCCGAGGGGTTTCTGTGGGGTGTTTGGTGTTTACGCCTCGGAGTGAAACCGCTGGGTCGGAGGCCAACTCGTATTTGTCTGTGGACTTGCCAGACTGATTTCCAAGGTGATGCCCAGCTGGCTGGCCTAGGGGCTCACCGCGTGGTGCAAGAGAAGGCTCAGGAGGAGTGTGGGCTGGAGAGGCCTTGGCCCGGGATGGGCCGCTCAGCATCCACAGGCTGTGAGCGTCTCTTGCCACCCTGAACCCCACCCCAGGTCCCCAGAGCCCAGACTCTGGCCAGGGGCTGATTCCTCCTTTGTGGTCCGCTGATCCTCAGGGCTGACGTCAGGAAGGCAGTTTCCTCTGCAGTGCAGGGCTGGGGGGACCCCAACCAGACCCGCCCCCCCCAAAGGACACCCAGGCTTGGCACCTTTGACTCAACCTTTATTTGCGAACTCTGAGGTCGAACGTGGTGCTCGGGGCTGCTTGGACCCAACAGGGATGGACCCGTGGCTGTGGTCTGACTTCTGCTCATCCCACCTCATCCCACCCCACCCCTGCACCAAGACTTCTCTCTCTCTTTCTCACTCGGAGCTGCTGGGTCCAGGCCACAGGGCTCCATGCAGCCCACACCCTGGCCAGTGACTGTGGGTGGCCAGCCAAGGCTTTCTGAGGCAGGGCAGTAGTGCCCACTTGGGCCCAGGCGGAGGTGGCTTTCCGTGCTCCAAGACGGACATCCCCAGGTTCCAGCAGCAGCTGGAGCTGGGGTGGTGGTGGGCAAGGCCCCCAGCACCGGGAGCCCAGCCCACAGTGGGCAGCTCTTGGACGCTGCAGAGGAGGAGACTTCTGCTCACAGGCCACAGTCAACAGGACCAATACCAGGGCTTGGGCCTGGCAGCGGCAGCAACAGCTGGAGCAGGCGGTGTCCAAGGGCTGCTGGTGGCCGCTGGGGATGGCGGCGCTGAGCAGGAGCCCTGGTGCTCATCCAGAGTGTGGGGCGGGGGGCAGGCGGTGCAGTCATGCGCAGAGCTGCCCCGGCAGGTGTAGCACGAGGCGTGGCAGCCGGAGCACACGCGGAGGGCAGGCGCAGCGGCGCGCCCAGGCCCTGCGGTCACTGCCGGCTGGGTGCTGCTGAAGTACCTGGGCGGGCAGTAGGAGAGGCAGAGGTGGCCCAGGATGTAGGCAGGGCCGTCACATTCTGCACGAGGGACACAGACGCGGAGGGTGTGAGGTGCTGCCGGCCTTGTGGGCCCACCTGCCGCCAGCCCGCCCTGGGCCGCACACGCACACTGACCACCTCTGCGGCCGACGCCTCCCAGCAAGTGGACCATGCGGCGCTGACCACTCACCCTGGCACAGCCCCTCTGTGTCCCGCTGCACACACGCGCTGCTGGTCACCTGGGGGTCTGAGGGCCGCTCCATCATGTCCTCAGCTGTCCCGTAGAGCAGCAGCGTGTAGCGGTACAGCGTCCCTGGGCAGGGGTCACGGTGGCATGGGGAGGGGAGAGGTTGTTGGGGCCTAGTGCTCCAGGCCCTGGCCCCCTCTGCTCAGCCACTGCCACCCAGAGCCCAGACCAGATGGCTGGGTGAGCACCCGTGTGTGCAGGGCCTGGACTTGGCCTCCCAGGAAGGGGACCCCTGCTGGCCCCGACAGGCCTGTGCACATGGTCTCTCCAGGGAGACCCGAGGCCCCTGTGGCAGTGGGGGCAACCAAGGTGGGGTTGGACGGTGGAGCCCCCAGCCTCAGCCCCGGCTCTCACCGGTGTTGAAATAGTAGCCCTTGTTCTCCAGGCCCAGGATCCACAGGCCCTGCGGGTCCTCGTCCCAGAAGTGGGTGGACATGAAGATCCAGTTGTTGTAGCCTTGGCCACTGACATCCAGGGGCCTGGGCAGGTGGCGGCACGGGGAGAAGGGTCCTTCTCAGGCGGGATTGGGGCCACGGGGCCAGAGCCCCCTGGGAGGGCCTCCAGAGGGCGGCAGTGGCTACCCGGGGCCGGTGGGTGGGGGTGGGCACACACCTGATGGCCACCAGCGTGGAGCGGGTGCCCATGGGGCTGGTGAGAGAGATCTCCAGGTCCCCACGGCGGCTGTAGGACAAGGACAGCTGCACCTGCACGTGCTCCAGGGAGCGGATGTAGTTGTGGCGGCCGGCACAGGCGGACACCTCCTTCTTCACGTGCATCCGGGGCAGGATGGGGCTGCAGGGGCGAGGACCCTCCAGTTGGCCCCCTGTGGGGTGGGCGCCAGCAGGAGGGTCTGGTATCCAAGATGAGGGGGCCACCCTCTCCTTTTACAAATGGGCGAAGGCCTTAGGGCTTGCCTCCCGGGGGCTCCCGCTCTCGGGTGGTGGTGGCTGGTGTGGGGGCGGGGAAGGGGGAGGTGTGCACAGTGTGCAGGGCCTTGGAGGGGCCGCCCTCACGTGGGGACATGCACAACCAGGATGGCACATTTCTTCTGGGGCTGTGTGGGCAGCCAGGTGCGAGCCATGTCCACCAGTAGCCCAGCGTCCAGCAGCCCGTAGCCGTAGTGGTGGCTCACTGTGTGGAGAGGTGGCGTCACTTTCCTGGTGGGCACAGCATTCCCGCCCCGACGGGCCCCATCGCACCTCGGCGCCCCACGCCATTGACCCTCCAGTCTTCGGCCTGCAGCTGCGCCGGCCTGGACGCGCGGACCACCAGGTGCTGCATGTCCCTCCAGCTCAGAAACGGGCTGCAGGGGGAGGGCAGGGGCAGTGAGCAGGGGGCTGGGCCTGCGGCCAGGTGGTGGGCAGGGCCCCCACCGTCACCTACTTGGCCTCCAGAGCCAGGGCGATCATGCCTGCGGCCAGCGGGGCCGAGGCGGAGGTGCCGGTGTGCTTGTCTGTGCACTGGTGGTGCAGATCCGTGGTGACCTGGGGGCAGGCGGAGGACGCAGCCCTTGTTCACAGGCACCAAGAACTGCACTCAGAAAGCACTAAAAAGCACACCAGGTGGCCACCTGTGTCATCCCAGCCTGGGCAACTTGAGGAGACGTGGCTCAGGGCAGAGTGCTCCCCGGCTGCGGGGCAGGCCTTTCATCCCAGGGCCACCGAAGGTAAAGGGGCAGAGCGCCAAGGTCACGAGGCACAGGTCAGAGGGCACGCCAGGCTCGGGTGTGGGGCGGTGCACCCAGGGAGCTGTCCCTGCCTGGGTCACGGGGAGGGTGGCCCAGTGGCCAGAGCAGGAGGACTGGGTGCCCACCTTGGGAGCCCTGGGAAGGTGGAGGGGAAGTCCTGCAGAGGCGCTGGGAGGCAGCTCGGCGGCCCAAGGCGGGGTTGGAGCAGCTGCCTCAGAGCTGGGGGCCTCGGTGGTGGGGTCGGGGAGGGTCACGGGCACTCACGATCTGCGGGTCGGTGACCACCCCGCTGCTGTAGGTGGTGGTGAGCGTGGAGGCGCAGGCCTCGCTGTACCAGGGCACGCGGCCCTGCTTGGTGGTGCTGCCCACGGACAGCGTGTGGATGCTGTTGGTGTAGCCATCGCAGTTGCAGTTGTCATAGTGCAGGCCACCATTGCCTGAGGCCCAGACGAAGAGTGTGCCCAACCCGCCGCGGCCCTGTGGGGAGGGACGGGGCAGGGCATTGGCCTGGCGCCCAGGCCTGGCCCTCACCCGGGGCGGGGGGGCCCTGCTCACCTTGGTCACCCCCAGCCGGAAGGCCTCCCGAGTGAGGATGCCCGGGCCGTCCACCGTGCGGCCGTCGTCCTCGGGGCCCCAGCTGGCGCTGTAGATGTGGATGTGCTGAGGCTGCAGGCTCAGCGACTGGGCCTCCACGACGTCCGTGATGGTGCCGTCCAGCATGCGCACGCCTGCGCGGGGGGCGTGGGCCTCTCCACCAGCCGCCCGCCAGGCCTGCCGCCCACCGTCCCTTTCCCTGGGGGCTCCGCCCAGGCCCTGTACAGCCGTCAAGGCCTGTGTACCCACAGGTCCCAGCCTGACCCTCCCCTCTGTCCCGGGCTGTGCCCTAGGGGACCCGGCGTACCTCCAATCCGGGCGTTGAAGGCGACACCCGCCCCGCAGAAGTGGTTGTTGGCTATGGCAGCCACCTCCCCGGCACAGCGCGTCCCATGCCTGGTGCCAGGGCCAAGAAGTGCACCCCTGAGAGCCCACCTGGCCCTGTGGACAGTGGGTCCCGTCCCCTCACCCACAGGACCAGGACTCACCGGTTCTCATCACTGGGCGTGTAGCGAGGCTGGGGATCCGGGTCATAGTCGTTGAAGTCGTAGCTGGCCAGGGGGTCCTGGAGGCAGGTGGGGACAGGAGAGGGTCTGAGGCATCCCTGGGGCGGGGCCAGCCTTGAATCCGGGGCAGCCCCCATTAGCCACCCAGGGTCTCACATAATTGGCCCAGAGATCCGGGTGGTCCTTCTCGATGCCATCGTCCAGGATGGAGACCACCACCCCCTGCCCTGTCAGGCCCTGGCTCCAGACCTGCAGGATGTTCAGGTCCGGCTGCACCTGGGTATTCTGCATCAGGAGGGGTCTGGTCAGCGGGGCTCTGGCTGGCCTTGCCTGTCCGCCTGCCCCAGCCCAGCTGCTCACCATGTACCACTGCTTGGAGAACCAGGGGTCCGAGGGCTCCGCAAAGGAGCGCTTGAAACGCCGCCGCAGCGTCTGCTGCTCAAACCACTGCACCTGGGGACACAGCCGGACAGTCCAGGGCTTATCCCTGGGGCCTTTCAGGTGGGGGAGGGTAGACTAGAGGACTGTGGACCTCTGGGGAGGTTCTGTGTCTGTGGGGGCTGCTGCTCCTCAGGCCCATCTCCTCTGTCCTCTGTCTGCCCAAAGCTCTCAGAACACCTACCTTAGGTCCCACAGACCCATGGCCAAAGCTGAGGATGAGTGGAGCCTCTCTGATCCCAGCTGCCTCTTCCTCCCTCCCACATTTAGATCCTTGTGTCAAGGTCCCCCTGGGTCCCTCAGCATCACTTCAAAAAACAGCCACTTTTACCTCCCCATCCAAAATGACCACACCCTTTTCTTTTCTGGTTCTCCATTTCCCTGTCCACTGCCCACAAGCCCTACCTGTCTAGACAACTACCAGCCTCCTTACTGCTCACTAACAATGATTGCCTTCTTGTTCCAAGAGCCTGTGAATCCATTTCCACCCCAGGACCTTTGCACATACCATTATGCTCTTCTTCTGGCTTTTGCCATCCCTGCTTCTTACCTTCTTGGTACCCCCCAACTCAGCTCATATTCCCAGCCCCCATCTCAGTGGTCTGGGCCATTTTTTCTGGCTGCTTAGCTCCAGATTTGGGAACTGGCCCTGATTTCTCTCTCTCCTCCTGATTTCTTCCAATCCATCTGCCAGCCCTGGCTGCTGTCCTGCAAACTATGTATAGGTCACATCTTTCAGTCCTCAATGCTATGGGCAAGCAGCCCTCCAGGGCAGCCCACTCCACTTCACAGCACCCAGGGCTCCCCAGAATCCATCCTAATTCTTCATCTGGGCATCTGAGACCTTTTCTTGATAGGACAGGTTCTGATTGGGAGCAGACACCCCTCTGAGCCCCCAGATCACTGGGCAGTTTTGGCTTCCTACTCTGCAACTATTTTCATGCTGGTCAAATGGGCCATTTCCCATCTCTCCATCCTGAGGTGGGGAGAAAGGAAGGACCATTCATCCCTTCTTACCAGAGCGTTTGGGGCCCCTCATTTTTTAGGAAGGAAGAGGGAGTGGCAATAAGTGCCTACTCTGTACCAGGTCCTGGGGGTGGCATGCTCACACAGACCTCCTCATCTGGTCCCCACTGTGGGGACCAAGTGGAAACTGAATTGCTGAGTTGGTGACTTGCTGGAGGCCACTCGGCCACCATGGCAACCACAAGAATAACAGAAGGCAGCTGGTTGGCCCCAGGTGGCTGAGACCAAGACAAGTGGCCTCCCAGACCAGACTCACCTTGGGGTCTTTCTTCAGGCGGAGGCGGTGGCCCCAGTGGGGAGTCAGGGACTGCTGGGCCACGCCCCGGTGCCGGAGGTGGAAGTACTGCCCGTCAGGGAAGATCTGGAAGCGTGCCGCAGCCCTCTGCTGGGACCRGCTCCCTGATGGAGGCACTCCCACCCCTACCGGCCGGCCCCCTTGCTTGCATGCTCCCAACCGGGGCCCAGGTGGAAGCTTCTGGGAGTCCCAGAATCTCAGGTGGCCGTGGCAGGGGTATGCTGGGGGTTCTTGATACTTGGGGGGCCTTGGGGACCCGGGTCCTTTTTGTTGGGGTCTGGGGTCGCCCAGCCCCACCCTTCCCATCCAGACGGGTCCCACCCACCTGCCCCAGGTTGACGAAGCCAAATTTGCGTGCCAGGCGCTCGACCTCCTGGTAACCCTGTGTCACCCGCACGGCCCAGCTGCCAACGTAGATGGGGGCCGGGGCCGTGGCCCAGGCCACAGCCAGGGGGCGGACGAAGCCCAGGCTCAGGGCCAGGGCCAAGGACAGGCGCAGACAGAGCGCAGTCGGGGCTGGCCGCATGGCGGGGGCGGGACCGGGGGCGGGGCCTCCGGAAAGCCCCTCCCTCTGGCCAAACCGCCTAGTCGGCCCGGCGCCCGCCGGACTGCCGGCGCCATAGCAACCCGAGGGCTTCAACTCCCAGGGGGCCTTGCGGTTCCCCCAAGTGGGGCGGGAAGGCCCGACAGAAGCCGTAGGAGGGTACGCGTGTCCACAGACCTAAGCCCTCTGGAGCCTCCGTTTCCTCATTTGTACGCGGACCCAACTCCGGCCCACGGGAGCAGGTTCATTGTTGCCTAGGGGAAGGGGAAGCCAACTTTATTTGGCCCCACCCACTTTCTTCACACCCCTTCCTCGAAAATCAGCTCCGTCTCCGGTCCTCTCCAACCAGAAGTGTTTCTCTGRGTAAGTCCCGCCTCCTCTCTTAATCCCGCCCTATCCCGAGCTGACCCCGCCTCCCCTCTACTCCGCCCCGCCCCTGTCTGGCCTCGTCAATCGTCTCTGGCCGGTCTCTGGCCCTAACACCCGCGCTGCCCTCTCCTCTCTTAGCTCCACCCTCCTCAGCGATGCAGCCAATAATCCCCGGCCCTGACGCCACACCTTCCAACCAGCTACGTCCCACTCCTGCTCGGCCAATCAGCGCCCTCGGCCTCCGCGCCCCGCCCCCCTCGCGGCCGCCTCCTTCCCACTCCGTCCGCCTCCGGCCAGAGGGCAATGCGGCGGGGGAGAGGGGGCAGGCCCCTCCTCCTTTGTCCGCCCTGCCCTCCCATTGGCCGGAGCGGGGGAACAGGGGCGGAGCCCGGAACAGGGGAGGAAACCAACAGCCTGGGGGCGGAGCCGGGCAGCCCTAGCGGGGGCAAGGCTGCTCGCGCTCGGCGGGGCCGGTGCGTGGGGCAGCAGGCAAGCTCCAGCTCGAGCTGCCAGCCCCGGGCCCGCCGGTGCCATGGACGGCCTGCGCCAGCGCTTCGAGCGCTTTCTGGAACAGAAGAACTTTGTCACCGAAGCGCTCGGAGCGCTCGAAGCCAAGATCGGTGTCGAGAAGCGGTATCTGGCCGCGGGTGAGCCGTCGGGGCGCTTGCCCCATTGCACTGACGGGCACACTGAAGCGCTGGGCATCGAGACCTGACGCTTCTCCGACTGGCCCCGGCTGCGGGGTCCGGTCCGGGAGAGGCGCGCGTCCCGCTGCTCAGCATAGAGACCCAGATCGTGGGGAGGGAGAGGGTCTGCCTGCAGCCCCTGCCCAGTGCCCTCCCRGCGACCTTGAGTGAAGGCAACTCTGGGCCCCTGCAGTGCTCCCCTGTAGCCGTGGTCCCAACAGTTCTCTGCCCCTTCCGTCGGGGCCTTGGGCACTTGCCAGGCTGAGTCCAGTTCTTCCAGTTGCCTAACTAGGTGTGGGGGCAGTCTTGATGCCAATGACCTATGTGTCTGCCCCAACTCCTTCCTGAGTGGACCCGAACCTGGCAGTGGGTACAGACAGTTTCCCCCGTTTGTCCGAGGGGAAGCCCAGGTCCTCCTCCTGAAGCCCTCTTCCTGTACCCCGGTTCCTGACTTACTCTCCTGTCCTTATTACGTGTTGAGTTGGGTTGTGGAGAGCTGTGTGGGTTCCCTGGGCAGGAAGAAGCCGCGCACACGACTGTAGCTCCATTCCATTTCCATTGCCCCTTTTCAAACCTGTGCAGTAGGTCTATGGTCAGTGCTCAAGTGCCCTTCTCCCCCTTTTGTAGTACTCAGAGGTCCACTGCCTTTTCCAGGAGACCCTCCCCCTGGACCACAAGGACACTTGTCTGGTCTTGAGGCCTCTGCAGGGAGGGCTGTGCCCCATTCTTTGATCACCTTTTGTGGGCAGATTCTGGAGACCACCTTCCTCCCATTTTCCCACCAGCTGGGGGATTCCCCTGCAGGCAGCTCAAGGAGGGTCTGAAATCCTCCTCCAGACCYTGGATGCCCGCCAGTGCCCAGCCCCCCACCCCAGCAATTCAGCCAGGTGGCACGGGTGTGCTGTGCCTGCCCAGTGCAGGTCCTGGCCTCTGCCCTGGCTTTCCACAGGCCTTGCTGGTCCCAGTGGGTGGGGAATGTAGGTCATAGAGCACTTGAGGGGAGGGGGCTGGGTATCTTCAGGGAGAAAACTGAGGCACAGGGAGGCAGGGACTGGGGGAGGCTGCCTCTGTCTGGAGCATGGCCCCCCTCCCTGCCCCAACCCCATCTGTTGATCTCAGGGTCCCTTCCCCCCACAACCCTGATGTCCAAGGTCATCCTTTCATTGCTGAGACTGCAGGTTTAAAGGGATTTAGGAGCAAGAGCCCCTCCTTCCCCACTAGCCAACCTGGGAGAGCCCCTCCTTCCCCACTAGCAAACCCCAGGAAGGAGTCCTATCCCCCTTGAGCCTCACCCGGATATAGGGAACATTGAGCCTCACTGACCCCAGATGGCCCAATTCCATGCCCCCTGGTGACAGATAAGACAACTCAGAGGAGGCAGTGACCTAGAGGTCACATGGCCTTTTGGGGCCACCTGGGTCGCTGTCTGACTGCTCTGACTTCTGGACCTGGAGGACAGAGGCTAATGCAGGTGGAGGAAAGGGTGGGGTGATCTGGTGCTCTGCCCTTTGGTCCAGAAGTGGCCTCTATCTCTCTGCCGATAACAACCTCAGGGAAGGAGGGAGGAAGCTGTCCAGGGGCACCAAGGTTCCTTGTGTACCCTTGGGAAGCTGCTCCCCTGGCCTCAGAGCCGAATGAGATAAGGCAGAGGAGGCCCTGAGGCTGGCACAGTGGGCGCTTGGCAGATGCCACAGTCATTACTCTTTTCAGAATCAAGCTCAGGATTGTGGCTGAGCTCCTGTCCCCCTCCCTCATTTGTCTTTGAACCTCCATTGCTGGGAGTATGTTTTAGTGGCCAGAAGGTGTAGGAAGCAAGGGTCCCCTGACTCACAGCCACCTAGGTGGGAGCCACCACCCCCATTGCAGGTGGGAGTGAGACTCCACGGGAAAGGCTTGCCGCAGGTGGCAGGGAAAGGAGCAGGCTCCTCCAGCTCTGGGAAGACCTGGGKTCTCAGAGGGGCCGACACTGCCCCATGCGTATTTAGCCTTGTCTGGGGACATTTGTGGTTGTCCCACTGGAAGCTCCTGGCCGGGAGTGAGTGGAGGTCAGAGGTGCAGCTCAGCACTGTGCAGGGCCCAAGACAACCACTCCAGTGAATGGACTGGGCCCGCATCCGCAGGGTGGAGCCTTTACACAGGTCCTAGCCACTCAGCTCTCCCAGCTCCCCAGGGATCACGCACTGCCCTCCTACTCCCAGCACCTCCCACAGGACCTGGAGTGAAGTTCTTAGAACTGCAGATGGTCACTTATTCACTCAACCCATGCTCTCTGGGCAACTGCTTTGTGCTCACTCCACAACTGAGCCCTGGTTCAGAGCCAAGGTCCCTGCCTGCCCTTGGGGTGCTCACAGCACCCCACCATTTGCATGCATACACCTCAGGGCTAGTGGCCCTGGGGATGCATGAGCGCCCCACTGGCGGCTCGGGCATCCTGGAGGCATCACTGGGGCTYTGGCAGGAGGTGCTGGCCTCCGGGTGCTACCGGATGGTCCCTGTCTCCTGTAGGAGTCGTCATTCTGCTAAGCTTGTACCTTCTGTTCGGCTACGGGGCATCTCTACTGTGCAATCTGATCGGATTTGTATACCCCGCATATGCTTCGTGAGTGCCCTGGCTGCCCCGTGGGAGGGGAGCCTGGGGGGTGCACGTGGCCCCTGAGCCTCCTGCGCCTCCCGCAGAGTCAAAGCCATCGAGAGCCCAAGCAGAGACGACGATACCGTGTGGCTCACCTACTGGGTGGTGTACGCTGTGTTCGGACTGATGGAGTTTTTCAGCGACCTACTCCTGTTTTGGTTCCCTTTCTACTACGCGGGCAAGGTGGGGGGCCGGCCCCTCCTGGGGACCCCAGGACAAGCAGGTTACCCACCCTGGGGAAGAGAGGGCAGCCAAGAGTCCAGGGTGTGTGGGGTCTGGGGCCTGCCTCCAGGCTGGACAGGGACATGGACCGTCCCAGGGGCTGTCTAAGGGTAGAGGCCCAGTTCCTGCCCAGGTGGGTGTCTGGCAGGGACACTGAGGGACAGGCCCCAGTGTGACTGCTGTGCCCTGCAGTGCGCCTTCCTGTTGTTCTGCATGACGCCGGGGCCCTGGAACGGGGCTCTAGTCCTGTATCATCGCGTGGTGCGTCCAGTGTTCCTAAAACACCACGCGGCCGTGGACAGCGCCGTGAGCCAACTCAGCGGCCGAGTCCTGGACGCGGCAGGCGGAATAGCCAGGGACGGTAGGTGCTGGGGCCGGGGTCTCCGCCGGCCTGCCGGCCTGCTGCCTCCCATCCTGCCTCCCCTGGGCCTCGGCCACTCTCTGGGGTCTTCACCACGCCTCTGGGGCTCCCCTCACACACCTCTCTCTTGCATGCTCTCGGGAACCAGTGCTTCAGGCCCTGGCCCGCGGCCGGGCGCACGTCACCCCAGTGCCGGCAGCGGAGCCTCCGGTGGCCCTGGAAGCCCCCCGTAGGTACCCGGGGCGGGCAGGGCCGGTGCATGCCGGTGGCACTCATGTACATTGGACGTGCGTGTGCCTGCGTGTGAGTGTGCGCACCCTGTGTGCCAGCGTGCTGTGAGCAGGCGCTGTGCGTAGGACATGTGTCCTCACCTGTCCCTGTGCCCACACGGGAGTCAGCGGGCACAGGGTGGATGTGTGTGCCCGACTGCCCGGGTGACCACCTGGCCCCTGAAGGAGCTGACTCTATCACCAACGGCCTAAGTCCTGCTCCCAGCAGCTGGGCAGAGCCCTAGGGGTGGTGGACGGGATCACCCAACTGCCCCTCCCCGCCCTCTCCACAGCCAAGGCAAGCCAGAGCCCGCAGCTGAAGGACAAGTGAAGCCGCCCTCCAGCTCTGGCACGGACCAGTCCAGCAGGAAGGGGCGTACACCAGGCACCCAGCTCCCCACAGCAGGCACCCAGCACCCCACAGCAGGCATTCACCAATCCACATCAGGCATCCACCACTCCACATCAGGCACCCAGCACCCCACATCAGGCATCCACCACTCCACATCAGGTACCCAGCACCCCACAGCAGGCATCCAGCACTCCACATCAGGCACCCACCACCCCACAGCAGGCACCTACTACTCCATATCAGGCACCCAGCATCCCACAACAGGCACCTACCACTCCACATCAGGCACCCAGCACCTCACAGCAGGCACCTACTACTCCACATCAGGCACCCAGCACCCCATAGCAGGTACCTACCACTCCACATCAGGCACCCAGCACCCCACAGCAGGCACCCAGCACCCCATAGCAGGCACCCTGCACTCCACAGCAGGCACCTACCACCCAATAGCAGGCACCCTGCACTCCACAGCAGGCACCTACCATCCCACAGCAGGCACCTACCAGTCCACATCAGGCACCCAGCACCCCACAGCAGGCACCTACCACCCCATAGCAGGCACCCTGCACTCCACAGCAGNCAGGCACCTACCACCCCATAGCAGGCACCCTGCACTCCACAGCAGGCACCCTGCACCCCACAGCAGGCACCCACCACCCCACAGCAGGCACCTACCACCCCACAGCAGGCACCCAGCACCCCAAGGAGCCCTCTGCAGACTCCCAGGCAGAGCCTCGGGCGGGGCACTCAAGTCCCCTCCGGCCCACCGGGAGCCCCCTCTCTGCTGCCTCCACAGAGTCTCGCTCGCTGACCACCCCCAGCTCCATGTCCCAGGGCCAGGCAGTCTCTGGCTCTACCAGTGGCTCCCAGGTGGCCAGAAAGACACAGATTCAGCCCCAGCCGCGCACTGGCTTCTCCAACTCGGCCCCGGTGCCCTCCCCGCAGGCCGCGGGGTCCTCAGGGACCGGGCGGGGCCCCAGCACCACCTCCAACCAGGACCCGTCCCTTGGCCAGTCTCCTAGTAGCACCACCACCCCCTCACAGCCCCCCAGCAAGCTGCCCAGCGGCCCCCGCAACACAGCCTCCAAGGGCAGCTTCCCGCAGCAGAAGGAGGCCGCCACCAGCACCTYGGGACCCAGGTCGCCCGTCCCCTCCCACTCCGAGTCCTCGCTGGAGTTGGAGTGCTCCTCGGAGTCCACCACTGAGATCACCTACAGCTGGCCACACTGCCGACACCAGCTGCCCTGCCGCCGGCCCTGCTGGCTCCTGAAACACCTGGCCTACTAGGCACCAGCTGGACGTGCCCAATAAAGTTCCGGCCCCAGCTCGCGAGTGTCTGCTGCGCCGGGTGCCGGGCGCGAGTGCCGGCTGTGCAGAGCAGCCGCTTCACAGGGTGCAGGTGGCAGGACAGCCAGCGCCCCACCAGGCAGGTGCAAGCCCGGACCCCTCCTGTGTCCCCGTGTCGAGGGCCTGTGGTCAGCTGCATCCGCGTGCCCACTCTTCATTTAAAAACAAAACAAGATTTCTCCAGAGCCAAGAAGCGGCTGTCGTGSCCCGGCCTAGCTGCAGTCCCCCAAGACGTGTGGGAAGGGGACGCCAGGAGACTCCCACACAGTGAGGACCGGAGGGCAGGGGAGGGGAGCAGCTGCTGAGTGCACACCTGGGACTTTCCTGCCCAGGTGGCCCGAGTGCTGGGCATAACTACCTGGGCTGTGGGCTGGGTGGGGGGCGTGCTGGTCCAGGTGCCAAGGGGCCGTGAACTCCAGCCACCGCCCACTGCAGTTGCGCAGGGCCAGGGAGAGGGCAAAGCCCCCAGCAGGGAGCCCAGGGCCTGGCACTCAAGGGCAGTGTGAGGACACCAGTGGGCCCTGGCCAGGGCTGTCTTGTTGGCGTCTGAGTTCTGGGGATGGAACCCAGGGCACTTGACCACTCTGAACYCGCACCCCAGCCTCCGGGCCCCTGGGTCGCTGGGGGGACAGGCAGCGGCAGGCAGGGGACAGACGTGTTRCAGAAAGCTGAGCGTAGAACAGCGAGGGTGACACTGGTGCCCCCTGGGGACTCGCCCGCAGGTGGAAGCAGGGCTGTAGGCCCACCCGACCTTACCGTGCTCCAGGCTGTGACTGCAGTGCTCGGTGGGCCATGTGTCCCGGGGACCCTGCTGTCTGTCCAGCGCAGCAGTGGACTCCTGCAGTCCTTACCATGTGACCAGCTAGGGCTCTGKCGGCCCCACACACCAGGACAGTTTTCCAGAGAACAGGGCGACTCTGAGCTGCCAACCCACAGCCGCACGTCCTCTGTCTGCGCATTCGGTGGGGGCTCGGTGGGGATGGTGGCTGGGCATTCATCCATCTCCTCAACACACCTGAGCACCTTCTGATCTCGGCCCTGTCCCAGGAGCCCAGGGGCCAGCAAAGACCCAAAGAAATGTTCCTGCTCCTGCGAATTTGGCCAGGGGACCAAGGTGACAAGCGCGTCACGGGGAGAAGACAGCAGGGAAGGGTGGGGCAGCGGCTGTGTGAGGCGGTTAGGTGGGCGCTCAGCCAGAAAGGCCCACGGCAGCCCCGGAGTGGACGGGAGACCTGTGGACACTGCAGAGCGTCCCAGGCCCTGCAGCAGGACCAGCCTGGCATGCGGCCAGCAGCAAGGAGCCCTGTGGCTGGACCGGTGCCCTGGAGTGGACTCTAGGCTTCTCTGGGGAGGTTCACCAGGACGGAGGGCTCAGGGCCGTCGTGAGTTGAGCCTCGTCCACGTGGGCACTGGGGACAGGAGCACAGGTGTCCTCATCTGTGGCTGGGGGGTTTCCAGATGAGGTGTGGCACCACTTGGGAGGATGGGCTGAGCCCCTTGGCACCCCTCAGCCTAGGCCTCAAAAGGGCCCTAGCTCTGCCCCTCAGAGGGCGGCCAGGTGTGCCCACCTGGGCAGGCACACAGGTGGTGAGGAGGTGGCCATCCCTCTAGGTGGAAGTGGTGAGCTTCACTGTCTAATTCAACACGGGGTGCCACCGGCCACCCCCATGGGACCAGCCCCCAGGTCTCACCTCTCCCTCCGTCCCTGCAGACCCACGTTCCCTGTCCTCTGTGGTTCCCACCGGCACCCCTGGCACTTGACACAGTGAGGAGACGGCCAGCTGCCCTGGGCTTTTCATGTCCCTGCTCTAGTTCAGCCTGTCCATTCATCCACTCTGAGGGTCACCCGAGTCACGCCTCACTTTTGGCCACTGTGACCACAGCTACCAGGAATGTTCTAGAAATGTCCTTTGGTGGACTGAGGGCTTGTTTCCTTTGGGCGCGTAGACCTGTYGGGGGCTGTTGCGTTGGAGTCTTCTTTGGCCACGATGACCAAAAGGGGCATTGACCCTTTCCTCATCCTGGAGGCCAGCTTTGGAGGTCCAGCTGGGCTCAGGGCGTCCCTCCCGAGGCTCCAAGCAGGATCCTTAGCTCTGGGGTGCCAGGCGTCCCTGGCTTGCAGCCACGTGGCTCCAGTGTCCATTTCCAYGGACTGTCCATGTCTGGGTCTACTTACGTATGGTCAGAGACTGACCCAGGTGTTCACCACCGAGCCCAGCCTCCCCTTTTTAATTAATTGGTGTCCCTCGTTGTGTCCTTGTCTTGTTTCAAGTTTGTAGCTGCAGGTGGACACCACACCTTGATTTCATTTATCTTATGTGGTGCTGAGGACCCAACCCAGGGCCTCGCACGTGCTGGGCCAGCGCTCTGCCCCAGCCCAGCCCAGCCCCAGCCCAGCCCGGGTCTCACTAAGTTGCTGGGGCTGGCCTTGAACTGCCATCTTCCTGCCTCAGCGTTCAGAGTAGCCGGAAGCCTAGGGGAATGGCTGGATCCCAGGTGTGGCCACCACGCTCTGCCACCAAATTCTTTTTTACAGCAAAGATACCAACCTTCCCTCCCTCCCTGCAGCAAGTGGGCGTCCTGGGGCCCCACCTCCGACCTTCAGCCCCTGGGTGGTCTGTGACTGGGCCGGCCACCGTGCTGGGAGGGCACTGCAGTGCTCCGGGACAGGAGGCCAGGGTTTGGGGAGTGACCAGCCCCATGCAGGCTACAGGTTGTGCTGTCTGTAGAGAACAACAGCAGCAACAGAAGTGCCCAGGGCCCCTCTGCTGGACCGGCTATCAGCTGATATTCTGCAGCTGCTTAAATACTTCTGCCCAGAAAAACGGCTGTCCTTGGTCTCGGGCGCTTCACGGCSCAGGCTGCACACAGGGTGCACGTTACAACTGCAGGTGTCACCTCCAGGTGGGCAGTGACTCCCGGTCCTGGGCTGCCATGAGCTGGGCTTCTGGGCAGGTTCCCTTCTGGGTGATGTCTGTGGTTCCCGGCGGGCTCTGCGCTCTCTCCCCAGGGGGAGTCAGGTGGCGCGGTGAGGGCAGGCGGGCTCCTGGCCCGGCCCTTGTGGTTCAGTCCTTGTCCCTGTAAACCAGCCACAGCGCACGGTTTCGCTGGGTTTCTGTGGGAGCTATTCTGCTCCTTTTCCATTTCCTTTGGGATTAAAATGTCTTCATCTGTTTATCCAATGGTTTGTTTTAAAGCTTAGAGCGAATTGAGAGAGGCGTSGGGGAAATTGCCGGGTGTTGGGGACACCCCTGGAAGCCTCCTAGTCGGAAGCGCAGCTGCAGCCCAGTCGCTTCCTGGCCCCGGTGGCAGCTCCTCCCCCCATTCAGCCCGGGGTCACCCTGCGGACCTGGACATGGTGTTGGAGCGCCCACTGGCTGCGCAGCGCTCTCCTGCTGGGCCACAGGCCCCGCCCTGTCCACCCCTCCAGGACCCCCAACGAAGCCGGATGGAGGACCGCCCGGGTCTGGGCCAGYGGAGACACGTGGGGAGGCACCAGGCAGATGGGTGTCGCGGGGCACCGCGGGGAGTGGGCCTCATCCTGCAGCCGGGCTGCAGCTCCTCCAGAACCCCTGTACTCTCTGGGCAGGGCGGACCCTGGGCTGCCTGCCATCACTGAAGGCCATAGGCARTGAAGCACTGCTCCCAGGCCTGGGCCTGTTCAGGGACTGTTGGGTCCCTGGAATACAGTAGGTGCTCAATAAATAATGCAGGAATGCCTGAACAAACAGAGGGACTGGGGAAGGGCTCCTGGAGAATGCGGCTCCCGTGGCCAGGTCCAGGAGGGTTTTACAGGGTATCCACAGAGGGGCAGGGCCTCTGGAGGTCGCCCGTGAGGTCAGGGCTGAGTCCAGCACCCTGCCCTCCCCTGCCCGGCTGCAGCGGCTTGGAAGGGGCTCTTGTGCGGCAGGGGAGAGCGGACCATTCCTCACCCCAGGCCCCCAGTGTCCCCAAAGGACACTGCAGGCTTCCATCAGGGTGAGAAAGTGGGACTGTCTCTCAGGCACACCCCAAGAGGAGGGTCTGCAGAGTGACCATGTGACCCCACAGACACCTGCCGGCACCCGCCTGGGCATGGCCCCTGGTTGGAGAAGATACGAGAACACAGGGGCAGGGGCTCTGACCTTTCCCCCCCAGAGAGAGCTCAGGCCTCTACAGGCTCAGGGCTGGGCACAGCCCCTTTGTCCCCTGCCTCCCTCCTTCCCTCCTTGTGTATGTCCTGTCCTTGCCCCCAAAGGCTGGGGCACAGGAAGGGAGGAGGGTGTGACCCTGTCAGCACACGCTGAGATTCTTCCAAGGCGTCCCTGAGTTCCTGTGGCAGAATATGTGCACCAAAGAGTCTTGTTTTTTTTTTTTTTTAAGTGTTTATAAAAATTAATAAATAAGAATAAGAGGTTGAGTGGAGCACAGTAAGGCACACCTGTAATCCCCACAACTCCAGAGGCTGAGGCAGAAAGATGGCAAGCTCAAGGCCAGCAGCCTGTGCCAAAATGAAACTTTTTTTAAAAAGGTGGACACTAGTCTGTTGACTGGAGGAAACCCAGGCAAAAAAGGAAATCAGTAGATGATGGTTCCTGGTTAGGCATGTCTTCTAAGGGGCATGCAGGCTTGTGATTGTGTCTTTGAATATAGAAGCACGTGTATGTGAACGGCTGAGAGGTGTGAGCACAGGAGTTAGGGAGTTAAACAGGGAGGAGCTTCCTGGTACTCAGGGAAAGCAGGGAAATGGATGCATTACAATGTCCTGTTATGCCTGTTATCCTCTGTGACATGTTTGTTCCTGACTGTCTCTAAGCAAGTGTGAAGCAAGGAAGATGAAAACAAGCACAAACTTTCTGAGTGTAAAATAGCTATGAGCTTCCTGGAAGACAAGGTGAGGGGGGAAATGAGTCTTCTCAGTCTCATTTCRTCCTCCCTAGTGCCTGCCTGCTTATGACTGGATCTGACTTCACACAAAGGTTGTCTGTTTGTGACAGGGAATCACACCGCTGCAAGTGGTAGGTATTTCTGAGCTCCCTTGAAGCCAAGGTAAAGGGGAAATAGGCGAGGTTTGAGCTTCCTCATGGGGTCCTTCTTGCTGCGTGTGGTGTAGGTCTCCTCCAAGGGCTCAGACAGGACAGCGCCGGGCAGCCAGGCGGATGCGGCTGTCCTCAGCAGGGCTCCAGGGCCGGGCGTAGCCAGCATGGGGCAGCAGCAGCCTGTCCTGTGTGCCATCAGGGCTGACCAGACGCCGGAGAGCCATCAGGTACTCCTGCTGGGGGGCCAGTGGTGGGCAGGGGCAGTGGGCAGGTGCCCACACATACTCTCGAGTCCTCAGTGGCCAGCGGTTCTTGTAAATGAGCTGTATGTGCACCTCATAGCGGGTCTCCTGGGCCTGGCGGTGGCGGCCCACAACACGGGCCTGGAACACTGTGTGCAGGGTGGGTTGTGAGTCAGCTGGGCACCCACCCCGCACACCCGTCCACATGCCATGGCTGGAAGAGGGGGCTGAGGGTCAGGTGGGGCCTCAGAGAGCCCTGGGGACCGGGGTTGGCTGCGGCCTGGGGTCCAGTCAGGTCAGGGATCCATGAAGAGTTAGTGATCACACCAAGGAGTCAAACTAGGGTCAGAAGGGGCTGGGGCTGGGCTCGCCTAGCAGGTGTGAGCCACCGGTCAAGTCCTCAGCACCACATAAAAATAAAATAAAGGTATGTGTCCACCGACAACTAAAAAATAATGTTTAAAAAAATTAGGGTCAGAAGAAGCCATCAAGGGTAAGCAGGTCAGGGTCAGAGGTCAGCAGGGAGGAATGGGTCAGGTCAGGTTAATGAGCGTTGGGGTAGGGTTCTCACCAAAGTCGCTGCCGCAATAGTGGAGCAGCCGGTGGGCACGACCACGGGTGTCGGGGCAGGGTGGGCAGGGGTCTGTGGGGGGCGGGGCTGTGAGGGGCACAGGCCACACYCCTTGCCTGCCCCACCCTGCCCGCCCCACCTCACCTGGGGCCAGGGTGGGCATCAGAGGTGGGGGAGCAATGGGGGCCCGAGCCTCCACCTCCCGCGGCTGTGGCTGCCGCACTGGCCAGCCCAGGGCCTGTGTCTGCACCTGGAAGGGCCCGTAGCGCTCTCGAGGGAGCCAGAACTCAAACTGGATGCCGGGGTTGGGCTCCTGCAGGAGGATCTGGAGTGGGGCACGCAGGGCAGGGAGCTGCCCTTAGGCCCCGAAGCCCAGGCTCCTCCTGAGAGCCAGCCTCCCGCTCCGCCCTGCGCGCACCTGCAAGAGCAGGTCTTGGGAGGTGGGCCCTGCTGCGTGCAGTGTCTCCTGCGGCGCTGCGGCGCGGGCGTAGACCACGCGGGTGCCCGCAGCCTCGTAGGTCCCGGGCGGACTGACCTCCCAGTTCCCGTTGAGCACGTAGCGCCCATCGACCCCCATCAGCGCTGCAAGGAAAGAGTCGGCCAGGCTCCCGGGGTCCGGCCCCACCGTCTCGGTGACCCCGTCCCCTCCCGGGCCCTGCGGTACCCAGGTGGTTGCGACTCCGGTGCGCCACGCGGATGTGTCTGGCGCCCTCGGGGATCAGGGTCACGTTCCAGTACCCAGCGAAGGCACCTGGGCAGGAGGGTAGAGGTGCGGGGTGGGTGCGGTGCGCGGCGACTCGAGGGTTAAGGGAGCGCGGCGCGCAGTCGGGGGGCGGGGTTAGAGCTCCAGTGCTCCAAGAGGGTGGGACAGTCTGCCTCCGGCCAATCAGGATGACGGGCCAGAGGGGCTGGGCCACACACTGCCCAATAGGAGCGGGACCGCACGACGCCTTAAAGGGCCCGCGCCCGCCAGGGCACCGGGAGGACGGGGAGGGCGGTCACCAGCGTCACGGAACACGCGCTGCACGAAGAGGCAAGAGTCGTTGGCGCCGCCACAGCGGCCGCAGCGGTCCTCGAGGGCTCCGGAGCCCAGCACCCCATCACAGCCGGCGCTCTGCGGGGTGCGGAGGGGAGCCGTCACCGGGAAGGGGCGGGGCGGAGGGGCGGGTCCGAGCGGGAAGGCGGGGTGGAGCCTGGGGTGGAGCCTGGTGAGGGACGGGCCTGAGGCAGCCCGTACAGGGCCCGGGGCGGGGCCTTGGGGCAAAAGGGCGGAGCCTGGGACCGGATATAGGAGGCGGGGGTGGGGCTGAGAGGAGGTGGGCGGGGCCAGGCGAATCCTTACCAGGCAGCGACCAGCCACGCAGAGGCCTTGCGCACCTGGGCTGCAGGGGGTGCCGTCCAGGACACGGCCAAAGCTGTGATAGAAGGCGTGTCCCTCCGCCAGGCAGTTGAGATCGCACTGGTTGGGTGCTGGGGGCAGAAGTGAGTGGGACAGTGACCTCCATCGGACTTCCAGTCCCCCTGACTGGAGCTCCATCCGGCAATCATATGGGC